GGACAATGGATCTAGGGGTTGTTGTGGAAGAAGATAAAATACAGAACACTCGTCAGAAGGCCTGGAGGGCCCTTTGTTCAACGGTTTATTGTGTTCTGGCTTTTGAAAACAGGTTTGGTGGGGGGCAGTAGCAGGCCTGTGTTTGAGAATAAATTCATGTGAACAGAGAGAACAATTTTTGTGAAACTTTGACAACGAAATATATTGAAGTTAAGATAAGGCTAATTGAAATGAAACACACACACACATGGAGACTGAAGAGGGAGTTGAGAGTGTGACAGACATATAGAGGTATAGAGGGAAAAGACATACAGTGAGATAGAGAGAGAGAGAGACAGATACAAAAGAGGCAGGGAAAGAGAGTGCAAGAGATACATAGAGCTAGAGAGGTAAAGACGGAGGGAGAGAAAGACAAGAGGGTAGATATTGGGTGGGGAAATGACTCGTTAGGGCGGTGACCTCGCCATTAAACAAGTGAAAAGGACACGCCCGACGGACACGCCCGACGGACCCGCACACGAAGACACACCACAAAACCAACCGGTTGGATACTGCTGACGGACACACTTGGCAAACACCCCTGATGCACACCCGAGAGACACCCTTAAGGTACAGTCAAAGAGGTTGTGGGGGGGGGAGAGGGGGAATCACACTGTGACATTCGCCAGCCCAACTTCCCACACAAATGCTTCTGTCACTCTGATGTTTTAACACTGGGCAAGATTTACGTTTCTAAATAGAAATAATTTAATTTTAAACAAAAAGTAAAGGTGCTCATTAAAAAATAAAGGAATAAAAATTCGTTGCAAACGTTCACTGTTTCCCCCCCCCCCCACTTATTTAAAATGAATCTACCACGCATTCATAGAGCCACCCACCACGCATTCATACAGCCACTCACCACGCATTCATACAGCCACTCACCACGCATTCATACAGCCACTCACCACGCATCCATACAGCCACTCACCACGCATTCATACAGCCACTCATTCCTTATGAGAAAGCATTTTATATGAGATATATAGTCTTGTATTATTCTTATGTGTGAGGGCCCACGATCTATGTGTTGATCATTCTGGCTCCTGGTTTGAATTCAGAGTTTGCTTTCTCTTAGATGATTTGCCGTCCAAGGCTAAGGGGTCCCATCCATCCGGGGTGCTTCAAATGTTGGCTTTGGCGGAGATTGAACTCCAGACCACCAGCTAAGCGTGGTTTTAATATATTCCTTTTTACGGCTGAGAATTGACTTAAAATCTGACCAAAGGTTAACTTTTAAAGCTTCATGTTATGTGTATGTGTGTGGGGGGGGGGGGTTTGGACCCCATGACCCCCGAGATTCCTACTCGACTGATTTTAAGAGCAAAAAAAGTAACCAGGTCTCGGAGAGCCAGAACAGGTGCTGAGACTCTTGGATTAGCTCTCTGCCTCCACTCCCAGGGAATGTCATAAGACTGGATTGACTACCGATACTTAGAGTATTGAAAGTCTGACGTCTGGATCCCGCTTTTAACACTTGGCAAACCTAGAACACGGGCCGGCCATTAAAACATCCTGCATTAAGTGTTACAATACAACAGCTGCACAGGAGAGCAGTAGCAGGCCGCCACGAAGACCACCACGCACACAAAAAATGTGGGGCCTGGCTGTAAACATTCTTACCTTTAAACACACATTAATGCCATTTAATTTCTCTGCGACCCAGAGACGCACACCCTGCGACTCCCCGCGTAAAAAAACAAACAAAAAAAAGCACTTTAATATAATATTACCTGTCGGGGGGTAATCTTTCACCTGGTGGATTAGCGTTAATCTGATTGATAGTGGAGATGATGGATAAGGTTAGATCTTGGGGCCATGTCGGGTTGGGGAAGGGGGGAGGGGGGCCTGTGAGGTTGGAGGGTTGTTATCATTACGAGACGTAGTCGAGGGTGAGACAAGGGTAATACTGGATAGAGTGGAGACAAGGGTAATGCTGGGTAGAGTGGAGACAAGGGTAATGCTGGGTAGAGTGGAGACAAGGGTAATGCTGGGTAGAGTGGAGACAAGGGTAATGCTGGGTAGAGTGGAGACAAGGGTAATGCTGGGTAGAGTGGAGACAAGGTTAATGCTGGGTAGAGTGGAGACAAGGGTAATGCTGGGTAGAGTGGAGACAAGGGTAATGCTGGGTAGAGTGGAGACAAGGGTAATGCTGGGTAGAGTGGAGACAAGGGTAATGCTGGGTAGAGTGGAGACAAGGGTAATGCTGGGTAGAGTGGAGACAAGGGTAATGCTGGGTAGAGTGGAGACAAGGGTAATGCTGGGTAGAGTGGAGACAAGGTTAATGCTGGGTAGAGTGGAGACAAGGGTAATGCTGGGTAGAGTGGAGACAAGGGTAATGCTGGGTAGAGTGGAGACAAGGGTAATGTTGGGTAGAGTGGAGACAAGGGTAATGCTGGGTAGAATTGAGACAAGGGTAATGCTGGGTAGAGTGGAGACAAGGGTAATGCTGGATAGAGTGGAGACAAGGGTAATGCTGGGTAGAGTGGAGACAAGGGTAATGCTGGGTAGAGTGGAGACAAGGGTAATGCTGGGTAGAGTGGAGACAAGGGTAATGCTGGGTAGAGTGGAGACAAGGGTAATGCTGGGTAGAGTGGAGACAAGGGTAATGCTGGGTAGAGTGGAGACAAGGGTAATGCTGGGTAGAGTGGAGACAAGGGTAATGCTGGGTAGAGTGGAGACAAGGGTAATGCTGGGTAGAGTGGAGACAAGGGTAATGCTGGGTAGAGTGGAGACAAGGGTAATGCTGGGTAGAGATGAGACAAGGGTAATGCTGGGTAGAGTGGAGACAAGGGTAATGCTGGGTAGAGTGGAGACAAGGGTAATGCTGGGTAGAGTGGAGACAAGGGTAATGCTGGGTAGAGTGGAGACAAGTCTAATGCTGGGTAGAGTGGAGACAAGGGTAATGCTGGGTAGAGTGGAGACAAGGGTAATGCTGGGTAGAGTGGAGACAAGGGTAATGCTGGGTAGAGTGGAGACAAGGGTAATGCTGGGTAGAGTGGAGACAAGGGTAATGCTGGGTAGTGTGGCAGATGGGATGGATCTTTGGAATATTTTTCCTCCGGAGTGGCAGAGGGATGTGGTACCGGGTGAAGTGAAATGCTGGTGTTGTGTTATCTGCAGAGCTTGGGGTAAACGAATCCGTAAAAAAAATTATATATTTCAAGCACATTGAATATACTTTGGATTGGTGTTGCGACGTGACGTACGTTGTCTAGGGGTCGGTCCCCTCTGTACTAGCCACAGAACAATTTTACAAGGGTCTAGAACCCCTTTATTTCCAGCTCCTACAGAGCTGACTCTTGCTCCAAGTATCAACAAACAATTCAGGGTTTCAGGTTTTCTTATTTATTGGCTATGTGTGCCTATATGCCACTACACAAAACAGTTAAAGTTACACAAGTCCTCTTCCATCCGTAGAAAAACTCACTGCCTTTTCAAGACAAAAAATCATACACCCTATCCACAGCACTCGCCACTGTTCACTCCTTCAAAAAACTCAACTCACACACGTGGTTTTTTCAGACACAGCACACCGGTCATACCTTGACCGAGAAAATTAAAAACTCGTGGGGCACACGGGGAAAATAAACTCACCCACGATTGGTCAAATTAACATTATAGAAGTTGACACAAAAAACTCACGCGATCTCAGAGCTGACTCTTGCTCCAAGTATCAACAAACAATTCAGGGTTTCAGGTTTTCTTATTTATTGGCTATGTGTGCCTATATGCCACTACACAAAACAGTTAAAGTTACACAAGTCCTCTTCCATCCGTAGAAAAACTCACTGCCTTTTCAAGACAAAAAATCATACACCCTATCCACAGCACTCGCCACTGTTCACTCCTTCAAAAAACTCAACTCACACACGTGGTTTTTTCAGACACAGCACACCGGTCATACCTTGACCGAGAAAATTAAAAACTCGTGGGGCACACGGGGAAAATAAACTCACCCACGATTGGTCAAATTAACATTATAGAAGTTGACACAAAAAACTCACGCGATCTGACCGTGACAGGTGTGGGGTGGTTTCAGGGAACTCATTTCAGAAAGGAGCTAAGGGGAGTAATGGACCACACATTACAACGCTCTGTGTGAGAAGAAACATTTTTGGTAACGTTACACACTTTCATCGGCAAAATTTATTTGTAAGAACATCTTTGTCTGAACAGTGAACCGATTTAGAACAAATATAGTATGGCAAACTGTAGCTGCATTGGCTACACATTTTAAAGGAAAGCATCTCAGAACTGACAGGCAGAAAGAGGAAAGCATCTCAGAAAGTCAGAGCTGACAAGTAGTTGATGGCAAGCATCTCAGAAAGTCAGAGATGACCAGTAGGTGGAAGAAAGCATCTCAGACCATTAGAATAGACAATCAGAAGGAGGAAAGCATCTCAGACCGTCAGAGCTGACAAGAAGGAGGAGGAAAGCATCTCAGACAGTCAGAGCTGACAAGAAGAAGGAGGAAAGTATCTCAGACAGTCAGAGCTGACAAGAAGAAGGAGGAAAGCATCTCAAACAGTCAGAATTGACAAGCAGAAGGAGGAAAGCATCTCAGACAGTCCGACCTAACTAGATTAGTGGGGGGAAAAGCAAGGCAGTCACACGCGTAGAGCTAACCAGCTTTTTAATGTTTCATTAGAGTTAAGTCTTACTTACATGTGTTTGTTAGTAGTGTTTTTAATGTTTCATTAGAGGTATCTAAAAATTACCATGTGTTGAGCGTTACGTAGAATTTGATAGTAAAGTACGAGAAACTATAGATGCTGTTTTCAATACTGTCATTCAGGCCGAAAGTGGGTCAAGTCAAGGTGACTTCAAGTTTGATTGGAGAGATTATGGAGTTATTACCCCTGTCTATTATGACCGATCGTCCGTTGATAACTCTGCCAGCATCGTCATAGCAGGTAGATTATATAGACATAGCAGGTAGATTGTATAAACATAGCAGGTAGATTGTTTAGTCATAGCAGGTAGATTGTTTAGTCATAGCAGGTAGATCATATAAACACAGCAGGTAGATTATATAGTGACAGCAGGTACATTTTAGAAAGACCATTTATAAAAAAGTGGAAATAAGATTATTAAGAAATCATTCAAATAAATTAAGAACTATTTACGTTTGATACATCAATACACGTATGTGATTCATCAATACACGTATGATACAACAATATACGTATGATACAAATATACACGTGTGATACAGCAATGCACGTATCATACAAAAATCGTATTCTTATGTATTGTTTATGATGGGCTGGTTTGGTTTAATAATTTGCCGGTACAATCAATCTTCAAATTTCACCGTCAATTCGAACAAAAAAATATATAACTATGCGAACATGTATTTATTTACAGTGATATTTACAACGATAACTTATCATAGATATCCTGTCCAAATCCAATCCTTCCCTCCACAGAGTGTGTAGAGAGTCTGAACGCCATTCAGGACAAGACTAAAGCAATTGTCTTGAGTTGGCGAGAGGTTGTCGACTGCTGCCAGGATTATCCCCACGAACCAAAGTGGACTTGGTTTGAATGCATCCTTAACATAGGGGGGCTCTGCACGGAGGCTGATTACAAAAGTGGTTCAGGTGTATGCAATAATAAAACGTGTTCCTCGGTGGGAAAAGTTAGTAAAAAACTGTTTTAACTTCCTAACAGGAATTTGAAAATCGCGAGGAACATTTATCTCGTCATCCCTTTAAATATACCAAAACTTTGATTGGGTCCCCTTTGTGCCAATTACAAAATATAGAGCGTTCAAATAATTTTTTTTAATGTTTCAAAGTAAAATATTTTTAATCAAGGGATGCAACTTTATTGCCTCTTATGTTCAGGCATATCACATTTACTTACCCTTTAATGTAGTATAAATATATATATTTTTTTTTTTATTTTTTTTTTTTTCACATGGGAATATTTATGAAAACATTTCTTGAAACCTTTCGTTTTTTAAGTAGATTTTCTCCGAATAATTTCATCAGGTGACAGGAAACGTCATGATACCAAAGGGAAGTGAAAGTCTCATGGCTCAGATAATTCATCAAACGACGATAGTCGCATACATCGATGTAACGCAAGAGTCTTTCCAGGTATTCCTCAAAGTCTACAAAATTGTTAACGAAAGTTGGGTAATTGGAGTCAATCGAGACATGATTGGCCAAAGTTGGGTAATTGGAGTCAGTCGAGACATGATGGCTAAAGTTGGGTAATTGGAATCAGTCGATACATGATTGACCAAAGTTGGGTGAATGGAGTCAGTCAAGATATGATTGGCCAAAGTTGGAATCGACACAAATCTTGATCCAAACGAGTTTGATCGTTTGAACGGTGCAACAATTTATGTGTGTTATAGATATCCTGAAATTTTTTACGTTTTATTAATTGCTTAAGTTTTTTTTTTTTTTATATGTTTTTTTTCACTTTTAACACATGTTACTTTTAACACTAGTAGGTAGGACTAAACAGATATCCCAGATTTAGAAGAGTGTCAAATTTCTATTAAAGTTGTTATATCGAAGACGAAGAAGATAGAGTTAATTTTGTATGTGGACGTTATACTTAATTTATTTTATTTTAAATTACTATCACGTTTCAATTCAGCGCAAATTTTTAATGAATGCTGTATAAACGACAAATTGGTAAACTAAACTTATAATTTAAAGCATTGTGTGTTAGTCATTTGACTCGACGAGGGCGATTTTAGTCTAGGGCTCAATCTGTCTGTGGATGACGGATGGCAGAGTATTCTAACACTTGTCCAGACATGTCATTTTTTGTGGGAGCATGGGATCATCATGACACAATCTGTCTGTGGATGACGGATGGCAGAGTATTCTAACACTTGTCCAGACATGTCATTTTCTGTGGGGGGCATGGGATCATCATGACACAATCTGTCTGTGGATGACGGATGGCAGAGTATTCTAACACTTGTCCAGACATGTCATTTTCTGTGGGGGGCATGGGATCATCATGACACAATCTGTCTGTGGATGACGGATGGCAGAGTATTCTAACACTTGTCCAGACATGTCATTTTCTGTGGGGGGCATGGGATCATCATGACACAATCTGTCTGTGGATGACGGATGGCAGAGTATTCTAACACTTGTCCAGACATGTCATTTTCTGTGGGGGCATGGGATCATCATGACACAATCTGTCTGTGGATGACGGATGGCAGAGTATTCTAACACTTGTCCAGACATGTCATTTTCTGTGGGGGGCATGGGATCATCATGACACAATCTGTCTGTGGATGACGGATGGCAGAGTATTCTAACACTTGTCCAGACATGTCATTTTCTGTGGGGGCATGGGATCATCATGACACAATCTGTCTGTGGATGACGGATGGCAGAGTATTCTAACACTTGTCCAGACATGTCATTTTCTGTGGGGGGCATGGGATCATCATGACACAATCTGTTGTAGATCGGTCGATTGATTTGTGTGGCCCATGTCACTTTTTGTATTTTCTCCATAATTTTTGTTATTGTTTTCTCTTTCCCCCTTCAAACCATTTTTCCAAAGTGAAAAACTTTGGTGCAGTGGTTTCAGGGTCCACGCAATGATAGATGCCAAGGATCCATCCATCCCTGTGACACTACAGCCCATGTAGGGCTTTGGCCTGCCTCACAATTTCCTTCCACTCAGACCTAACTAATGCCTTTCTTTTCCATGCTTGGACTTTCAGCTGCTGTAAATCTTTTTCTACATCATCTATCCACCTAAGGATAGTTGGACAATAATTGTTAAGACATAAAAATGACAAGGTAGGGGGACCCTTGGACATAGTGAGTGAATGAGTGAGATGGGACGGGATAGGGCACCATGTAGCATTTATCTAAAACAAATGTTACAAAAATTAAACATGTAGGCTAAAATACTTTCTTTTTCAAATCCAATAGTCGGAAGGTGAATGAACCCATGACCTATTAAATAGATGTTATGGTTAAATAATAAGAATGTACTTCTTTCTAATTGCAATACTTTATGACTTTTTTAATAAGAGTTATACCGGAGGCATCTATTCTGACCGGAACTGCACACCTGGTGGGATCTATGATCACGTGGTACAGATTGTTGGTTATGGCACGGAGGAAGGTGTGGATTACTGGATCCTGAAGAACTCGTGGGGTAATAAAGAGTCTTATTTATTCGATCAACAATTACTTTTTAAGAATGTCCTCAATTAAAATTAAATTCTAGAGCCATTTAATTGAATTGCATTCTTCTTTTAGCTTCTTTTATATTTCGTGATTTCCTGCGATAACATTCTGGTGCGCTGCCTTGAATTTGATCCGAATCTCATCTCTGAACTGAATTGTGTTTGTCCACAGGTGTCTCGTGGGGAGAACAGGGCTACATGAGGCTACTGCGAGGCCAAAACATCTGTGGTATATCAGCCATAAATATATATCCCAAATAAACATAACAAGCTATTACCGTCAAGTTGTCTTGTTTTTCCAATATATTTTACAGAAGTGTGAAAAAGAATTTTTATATGTTAACGTTCAAAAGCTTTACTTGCATACAAGTCTGTGTGTTGAACAGTGTTAGATATAAATTAGGAATTTACTATTTTATAAATATATATATATGCAAAGAAATGTAAAGGCTTTAAGTTTAATGTGCAAAAAAAAAGTGGAAAATATCAATAAATTTTACCAACTCAAATGATCTATGTCCAATACTTTTGTGATCCATAAACTAGGTTGACACATGTTACTGTTCAGAATCCAAGATAACTGCATACATTTATTTCAATGATGTTACTTTTTTCTATTTATTTGCTAAGATAATAATAATAATAATAAAGCTTATTTGAGAATCACGCTTCATACCCAAAGGATCGAAGTGCGGTACAAAGTCATCCATATTTAAAGAGATATGAAACAATCTATATTTCACACCATTGAAATACAAAACGCAACATCACAAAAAATACTTACCAGAATATCCATTCTAAGTCTTTCATCCCTTGCAACCATAAACAGCACAGGCCACTATACATGTAGGAGATAATAGCTAGCTGGAAAAGATGGTAGAAAACATCACCCCAACATGTGTTTGCGAAATAGATATGGTTTATAAACGGTTTTGAAAGACTCCATTGTCTGGCTGTTTCTGAGAGCGACAGGAAGTGTGTTCCAAATTGTTGGGCAAGCAAATGCGAACGTGCGGCTTCCGTAGGTCTCAAGGTGCACACGTGGTATCGATAGTTTGCCACTATCGGATGAGCGGAGTTGTCTAGTGGGAACATAATGCGTCAGCAGCTCTTTGAGTTAGGACGATGCCAGGTCATGCAAGCAGCGGTAGCACAGAGTTTCAATTTTGTACTCTATGCGAGCGCAGACCGGCAGCCAATGCAACTCTCCCACATAAACTATGAGCAAGAGAGGTTTGCGTTCCTGCAACATTCACGTTACGAGAATTAGTTTATGTTGTGTTGTTTTTTTGTTTTTTTTAAATTAACAAATCTAGTTGTCCCAAACTCTGTGGCTTTTAAAATATTATGTTTACATGCTAAGGTATGTTACAAGGTTTTTCAAACATAATATAACTTATGATATAACCTATGATATAACTTATGAATAATGTGAGATATAAAATGATATAATCCGTGAACGGTGAAAATAGTGCACACTAGACGACTTTGAAATTACCAACACTTTCAGTTGAAATGCGTGCTTTGCTCCTTCTCTTTTCGTATCAGCAGCGTCATGGATGGAATTCTCAGTCATTTTCAAGACTCCAATTGTGGGAACAGAGCAAGCATTCCTGACCTTCCCATGATGCGAGTTTATACAGTGGGCTAGCTTCATCGTGTTCGAGGGGGTCTTCAAAAACTTTACTCTTTAAACCTGTCTAGATGTTAAAATTTTTAAAATTTTAGTCAACAAAGTCATTCTGAAATGATATTCAAAATATCTATTTCCAAATGGATTTTGTCCATCACGCTCAAAGGATGGTTAAACATTTTAAACCATTTCAAAAAAAAAGTTCATACGGCTTAACTCACCCAGTTAAATCTTTTACAGTAAAATGACATGTTATTATTTCAATTTGTACATAATTTATCCTTTATCTTCCATATTCTATTAGCGATGCCATGTGGTAATAATAATTCCAAAGTAGATCGATCTTGTCTGCCCCAATCTCGTTGCGCACCATGTTGTGCTCTCATTCGCTGCATACCCGTGGTGCCCTTGATCACGTCCGCACCAAAAGTTCACAAAAGAACACATTCGTTGACCACCATGCAGTGGGTTGTGCTGTATGCCGACTTGTGGTTTCTCTACCCCGAAGAAATTTTAAAAGCAGCTGTCACTCGAGTTAAAGGTATGACTAGACAGGCTTCTTTTAAAGCTACTCATTCTGACACTAGCGATAGGTCTAAATTTATCTTAACTTTTCATCCCCACAACCTAAAAGCTCGCTCTCTGGTTCTTAAAAACCGCTCCATTCTTATGGCGGACCCTGTCACAAATGCGATTTTTAGAAAACCTCCTCTTTTCGCTTTCCGGCGGGACAAGAGCCTTAGGGACATGCTAGTTAGAAGCCACCTCCCTGCTATTAAAGCATATAAAGGCACAAAATGTTGCAACCGTAGCCGTTGCAACTCATGTCCCTATGTGATCGAAACTGATACGATCACTTTCCCTCTGGGAGTATTCAGAATAAAAGATGGCTTTACCTGCACAAGTCGCAACGTGATTTACACCATCATTTGCAAAAAGTGCGGTAAACTATACATAGGAGAGACAGGTCGTCGCCTTGGGGACCGTTTCAGAGAGCACCTCTATAACATAAATAAACACGCTCTCTGTCCGGTCTCCAAACATTTCAATAGCCCTAACCATAATGGTATCTCAGATATTGTAGTTACTGGTATACTCTATACTAGTAACACTGCAGATAGAATCTATATGGAGAACAAATTAATAACTAGATTTGGTACGTTGTCTCCATATGGATTGAACCAAATCCATAGTTTTACTTAGCTGCCATGTCTTTTTCCTGTTTGGTTTTTCCAATTATGTTTGAATCACTTCCTTTCTACATCTCTTTACTTTGTTTTTGTCAGGTTTAAGCGCCCTCTCCTATATTTTTTCTGTTTTAGGTAGGATATATATATTGACATTATGTAAATTTAATTTATACTTATTTAAATGTGTTGTGTTTGTTTGTACTGATGAAGGCATGTGCCGAAACGTTTAATTCTGTATAATGTACAATTATTATTAAAGCTAACTCATATTGTTCTATTGACACAATTTGTTCGTGTCTTATTAATATATTTCTCTACTAAGCACTGGTGCATGTATTGGGCGCCATCTGGAATTATTATTGTAATTAAATCACGTCTTCCCGTACTACAAACGTGCCCAATGGATGCATTAACCAGCTAGTATATTTATTAACAGACACATGAAAGGCATTATGACCTTGATATCACATTGTGTCACCAAAGCATGTGGTCAACTAAATATTATTTAGCCAGGAGCGTCGCAAGGACGCTTCTATGTTTAACATTTTTAAAACATGCTAGACTTTTCCCATCTGCATCTCGTTATCTTTTTTTATTTATTCTGACAGTTCAGAAATTGTTTTCTATCCTGAACGCACCATTCATTTTTTGACATGTAGTTTTTGATAATTGTTGACAAATTCATCATCAAGGCCCAGTTTTCTACGTCATACAAGTCCAATAAAAAATTACATTGATTTTAAATTTTATTTTAATTAAAGAAAATTAAATTGTCCGTCAATTTTGTGAGAAGCTCTAATATATTCTCAAAAAATCGGCCAATTTTTTGAAATTTCTTTTTTTGAAAATAAAAAAAAATATTCAATATAGCAAACCCCGAAATTATATCGGTCTAAATTAAAATATTTTGGCCTTACGAAAAAATGTGCATAACAAAATCAGGTGGAATAGCAATTGTATTAATGTATTATGAAACTGATTCTGTACATCGAATTTATCGAGAGGGCCAGCACAGATTTGATCGTCTGCGCCCATGACTGAACCCTTGTTATCATCACGGGACGCCATATGATGCGTACGTTGAGTCACATTGGTACAACGTTCCCTATTCCTTGATTACAAAAAATATCTATAAATAACACTCTTACTGGCGATTGTCTATCAAAACGTCGAAGTGATTTCGTGTGGCTTAAAAATTTCTAGGATCAGAGTCAACGAAATGGCGTGTTTGAGGTCGCTTATCATCTCCGTGTTAGTGTTTGAGTGTCTGAACTGTGCGGTCATCAAGGTAAATACGTGGTTTGTTTGTTTGTTTTTGTTTGTTTTGTTTGTTTTTTTATTTTGTTTTTTTGTTGTTTTTTTTTTTCTTTTTTGTGTTCTTTTTTAAAAAACTGATTCTTTTGTACGTTTGTGTGTTTAAAAAAGAAGACAATCATTTGTGTACGGAAAGGCCAATGTTGCTGTCTGTACATATCTGTTTAGCAAGACGCCGTAGAGCTTAGAAGGTGGCTGTTGCGTACCGATGTGTGGATCTTGAAAATTGAATCTGTTTTAAGATTGTGTTTGTGTGTTGAGCAACACGTCACAAGGAACTGAAAACCAATATACCAGTCAAAGCTATTCATACTAACAATATTAAGTGTACATGTACTAATAAATGTATATAAAATACAAATTCAAATAGACATAAATAAAAATTACATTAACTTACAGCAAAAGAAGTGAAAAAGTAAAATCCCTGAGAAATATTCATATACACACAGGCAGAAAGAGCATGATCTTGCAAGGATATTTTGTCTCGTAAACGTCTCGGAAAGTTAGCAAAAATCTCTCTCTCCCAGATGAGAACGCTTCCGGTTTATTGACAGGGAGAAAATTTGAACCTTTCAGAAAAGAACATCTAGAGCCTGCATCATGCCCGGTGGAATATTTTAGAACAATGTAAACAATCTTTTCCCAATGAAATGAAGCGTGGGTTGTTGCAGCGCTACACATTTAATCAGTGGCGTCAGTATCAAAATATAAAAAAGGGAATGAAAGACCATGGCATGTGATGACATTGAAAAAAATGGATCAACCTACGGGCTATAACAGTGGCTCTTAATATTAAGCTAACAAAAGTATATCAATATTTGATTGAACAACCATGTAAATAGATATATATATATATATACATTAAACATGTTAAAAAAAAATAATAAAATGGCATCATCATTTGTGTTCAATTTTACTGCGGCTTAACAATAAAAAATCGCCTCTTATTTTTACAGAAATTTGATTCTATAAAAGCTGGTGGGTTTATATATTTTTCCTTTATATTTTATTATCTCTTTTTATTTACTGTAGCATTTTAAGACTTGGTTTAGGTTTATTTCCTTCTCACGCGGAAAGCTGCATTTGCAGGAACAAAATCGAGACACAACTTGAGCCATCATTGTGACTTGAACCATCATTGTGACTTTAACCATCATTGTGACTTGAACCATCATTGTGACTTGTACCATCATTGTGACTTGTACCATCATTGTGACTTGTACCATCAGTGTGACTTGAACCATCATTGTGACTTGTAATCGAACAGCCTTTTAAAATAATCCAAAAACCGATTACAAAACATACTCTGTTTTATTTTTCTTAATAAAGTGTGATAGTAAGGTGTTGGCCCTTCCGGATCGCCTTAAATATGCAGCCTTGGACATCAGATCAGAAAATTTCACACATCTACACCTCTGAATTGCACCCAGTCAATGATAGCACGTTGGTTAGGAATCCAGACAAATCTGAATATTTTTATCTCCTAAACTTTTCCATTTAATTTAAATTTTATTTAATTAATGTGTGTTCAAAAACCATATGTTAAATATAACATGCAAGCACTTTTTTTCACTTTACTTAATACATTTGTTAATGCTGGAAAAAAATAAATAAATGATTTGCAATTTGATAACACTCAAAAATCCTGATGTACTGTGTCACATAAGGTCCAAACATTATTGTGGTGGTACTTCTAGCTAGATGATAGTATTGTGGTGGTACGTCTGGAAATTCGTATAATGGTATTTTCAGACAGTCTTGTGGTGGTACTTCTAAACCGTCTTGTGGTGGTACTTTCAAACAGGCTTGTGGGGTACTTCCAAACAGTCTTGTGGTGGTACTTTTTCTCAAAATGTCCAACAGAACCGATGAAAATATTGAGAAAGATTGTTGTGTATGCTTAGTCATCTCTCGGTCTCATTCAATTTTATTAAATGTAACATATTTAACAGCATGTTGAGGAGAATGAAGGAAAGGCAGGTGACAATTTTGACTGGCGAGATTATGGTGTCATTACCCCCGTCTCTGACCAGGGTCAGCTCGGCAGTGTCATGGACTTTGTCATAGCTGGTATGTTGTCTTCTTGTTATTGTTCAAGAGTAGTTGTAAAAATTTTATAGCTAATAAATTCCTACTTAACTAGTTTATAGTGATAATATATTATGTAACTAGTTTCCAATGATAATTTACTACTTAACTAATATAAATTGATTAGATACTGCCATACTTGTATATATTGAACAAGACAGGATGTAGTTATGAAAATGATCTGTATCGCTATTGAAAGATTTTAGATCCAGCAGCCAACGGCACACCAAGCATGCGAACTGGATGTATGATTTATGTGTGTGTGTGTGTGCATCGTTCGATCTTCCAAATCGAACTTATTTAACTACACCAATCCCCCATCTTCTTCACACTTGCACATGCACACACACACACATACACACACATACACATATTCACATACACACCTACACAAATAATGACACAATTATATATTTTTTAATGTGTTCATCAATTCAAAATTTGAATCTGAGAGCGCAGACTTCTACTAAATGGAAGTAATGGTAATAGTAATCTAGAACTAATCAATCATTAACATTCTTCTCCCCACTCAGAGGGTGTGGAGAGTCTACTGGCCATTAAAAACAACACACGGGCTATTCCCCTGAGCGTGGCAGAAGTCGCTGAGTGCTGCGACGACGACTTCCACCAACCCAAGTACCGGGGATTCGACTGCATCGTGGCCATAGGTGGACTGTGTACACCGTCAGGGTACAAGAATGGCACGGGGTACTGTAACAGCGCCTTGTGTACACCTGTTGGGAAGGTCAGCATGAGCCTAGGATGAGCAGGGGGGGGGTAATTGGTATAATATAATAAATTCATGACCACTCGGTAAGAGCAAGGATCTCCTTCTTTGATCATCATATTTTGTGCTTAAACCAACATTTTAAGCCAAAAGCTTAAGCAAACATTTTAAGCCAAAAGTTTAAGGCAACGGTTTTCGCCAGCAGTTTTAGTCAACAGTTTAAGAGAAAAGTAGTTTTTGTTTTTTTTAAATCCTCTATATAAACTTTGCTTTTTTTTTAGTGTTTTTCTTTGTTTCAACAAATTTCTGTAGGCTCATTTACCCACTTCCCGTCATCCTATCGAGCTGAAACTTTCCACATAGACTCGTTGCCAATGACAACACATTCTTTCAAATTTTCAGTCGCACCCCACCTCCCAAAAAATCAGTTTTGCCTCTTTTTCTATGGAAAGAAACCCTTCCCAAACCAAATATCAATTTCTACAATCACACTAATGATAAAATACATACAATTACTTAAAGATGCAAACCAAAATGTATATAAATGTCTTTTACGAAAAAACTTTGTCTAAGCTGTATTTTTATGTGGGTTTTTTCGTGTTCTTGCATCAAAATGATGACATATATGGCTGGACCCTTAAACACATTACCTTATTATGTTTAGTCTTAAGTCTTTTATTCGTTTCATAAATCATGCTTACGTGATGTACCTGTAATAAAATACGAATGTTTGTACTTGCAGGTCAGCGGTACAGGGTACATTCCCACAGGGCAGGAGAACTTCATGTTGAAGGTGATTCGCTTGACCCCAATCTCGGCATACATCAACGCGGGAGTTCCTTCTTTCCAGGTAACCCTGAATAATCGGCATAGCAATAGCCATAATGACCCTAGTGATGGCCTTAATGATCCTAGAAATAGCAATAATGACCCTCGTAATAGCCATAATGACCCTAGTAATAGCAACAATGACACTAGTAATAGCCATAATGACCCTAGTAATAGCTATAATGACCCTAGTAATAGCAAAATTACCCAAGTAATAGCCATAATGACCCTAGTAATAGCAACAATGACACTAGTAATAGCTATAATTACTCTAGTAGAAGCCATAATGACCCGAGTAATAGCCATAATGACACTAGTAATAGCCATAATTACCCTAGTAATTGCAATAATTACCCTAGTAATAGCCATAATCTCAGTTAGAGCTAAAAGACACATAAAAATCGAAGTATTTTTTTTTATTATGTGTCTTTTTGTTACCCTTTGAAGAATTCAGACAAAAGTGTGTGTTTTTTCAAATGCAGTTTTGAAAATAATTTCATAAAAACATTTCGACCCCCCAAATCATTGTCTTTGATGGTAGAAAGACTGTTGTAGGAAACGCAAAAGGGGAAAGGGTGTCTGTGTTCTTGTATTTAAATGATTTCGTGTTAAATGGCTTCCTTAAAAACAACAACACATAGAGCTGATCAGAAGTCTTGTGTACATATTGAACGGCAAGGTATTTGAAGTACACTTAATTGGCACAATTATGAACAACTCATTTCATTGCCGTACACAGTCGTATGTCTCAGGCGTGTACGAGGACGCCAGCTGCTACCCGACGACACTGGACCATGCAGTACAGGTGGTGGGATACGGAACTGACGCTGGAAAAGACTTTTGGATTATCAAAAACTCTTGGGGTATGTCCAGTGGAAATAGCTTTACTTACTTGAAGACGAATAGCTTATGATAACAATTGAATGATGGATGAATGAGACAGTATGGATGCATGAGACAGGATAAATACATGAGACAGCATGAATACATGATACAGGATGAATACATGAGACAGGAAATTGTAAATTTTTTACGAAAAAGAAATAAAATTCAACAAAACAACAGGTTGCCATCCTGGTTGGACCCTCTGAATTTTAGAAATTAAGATGTCTGTTAAAATTTATGAAACTAGATAATCAGACCAGCAAACCCTTCATTTCTCGTGGTTACAGTTTCCTCGTTAACTCTGTTAATATTTTCATTAACTTTTTTTCTTTTTTTTTAAAATGTTATTTTGGTTAAGTTTGGACCCAAAGAGTTCTGATATGAATTTTGTTTGTTTTAATATTGGAATGTAATTTTATAATGAAGTTGTTAGGAAAAAGCAACATTTAAACATACAAATAATAAACTGACATCGTAATTAAAGGGAATATCTAAAAAAAAAAAAGTGCTTTTTTTCGAGAAAATCGCTTACGTGAATATAATGACCAAATTGTGCTCTTAGTCTGTTCAAAGCTGTTTGCATTTATTTTTTTAACTCTTCCGTTAAGTGAAGCTTGATTAAAAGTGATCGAACATACCATTATTCCAGTCCATGTTTGTTTGACCATCTCTAGGTGCCAACTGGGGTGAGCAAGGCTACATGAGAATGCTACGTGGCAAGAACATGTGTGGCATTGCTGAAATGGCTTTCTACCCCTATCTTAGATAGTAAGGACTTGGTAGCTGTACGATGGTTGACCTCACCAACTAAACCACTGACAAATCATTGCCGTTAAAATTGTACCTACCTCTTAGTGCAAGAGAAAAGCATTCAATAAAACATGTACAATGAATGTGTTTTGTTTGTATTACTCATAAAGCTCTCTATTGTAATGTTACCCGATTCATATTTTATTAAGATTAAACAATGACATTTGAAATTATGGCCTCTGGAACCGCTTAGTTTTGGTTATGATATCCAATATGATGTGAAATGACGTATTTAAGTTTATTAAGCTTATCGCGCGACGCACTTGAACTTGAAGATTCCAATAGATGGGACCTTGTCTCAGGGACCCTTCACAGTTGAAAGTGTAAGTGACGAAAAGTTGTAAGCAGGCCACAAAACACACGTAGTGGCAGGAGATGCGTAACCGTGGAAGGAGTTAATATTGCAGTCTTAGGTATGGTCAAGTCTATTTTTATCAAGTGAAAATGTTTGAAGCTCAGTCCACAATGTCACTAAATAGCCTTCAATGATAACGAGATTATCTCAACAAAGAACAACAGCTGATAAGATCAATCAAAGTTTCTTTATCAATATAAATTGTACGCCGCTAATTTTGACAGTAGGTTTGTTAAGTTATATATGTAAGCAGAGAGTAAAAAACTAAATATTATACTTTTGACCTATATGAAAATTTAAGCTTGTGCCAAATTTTTAATTCGTGTCAATTCATGTGTGTATTTTTTTTTAATCCGTGTCTTTTTGTTGTGTTCAAAAATTGACACTAAAATAGCCAGTTAAATGACTACCTAGGTTGGTCTACATAATGGATTTGAATCAATTTGACCTAATTTGTATGAACAAAAAAGTCTTAAAAGGACAGTGTTGTAAATAAATGCGGATGGTCCGTAGTGGCCCCCCTAACCGTGTATGAGACCACGGCGATGTGTCTCGTGTGCTTTTGTCTTAAAAACATCTACATTGGTAAGTGAAGACAAGATATCTTGTCTCGATGGGCACACTTACCGCCGTCAGCGGAGATTAGCAGTGACGCTTTAAAATGGCCACTGTTGACATCATGATATTCTCATTCGTGTTGGTTAGTGGTGTTTTGAATGTCTCATTAGAGGTGAGTCATACTTACCATCTGTTTGTTAGTGGTGTTTTGAATATCTCATTAGACGTAAACCATACTTACCATCTGTTTGTTTGTGGTGTTTTGAATATCTCATTAGAGGTAAGACAAAGTGACAATCTGTTGGTTCGTGGTGTTTTGAATGTCTTATTTGAGTTCAGTCGTTCTAACCATATGTGTGTTAGTTGTGTCTTGAATGATTCTTTAGAGTTAACTCATACTTACCATGTGTTGAGCGTATTGTATTTGAGAGTAAAGTCAAAGAAATAAAATGTGTTGCCGTTTTTATTACTGTCATTCAGACCGTAAGTGGGTCAAGTCAAGGTGACTTCAAGTTTGATTGGAGAGATTATGGAGTTATTACCCCTGTCTATTATGACCGATCGTCCGTTGATAACTCTGCCAGCATCGTCACAGCAGGTAGATTATATAGTCATAGATGGATAAATTATATAGTCATAGCAGGATAAATTATATAGTCATAGCAGGATAAATTATATAGTCATAGCAGGATAAATTATATAGTCATAGCAGGATAAATTATATAGTCATAGCAGGATAAATTATATAGTCATAGCAGGATAAATTATATAGTCATAGCAGGATAAATTATATAGTCATAGCAGGATAAATTATATAGTGTATGGTGGGCTGGTTTTATTTAATAATTTTCCTGTTTTGTCAATCCTAAAGACAATAAATGGCCATGACCATACAGTAAATATATAGCAATGCGTGCATGTATTTATTTACACTGTTATTTAAAACCGTTAAGTATCACAGATATTATGTCCAAATCTAAATTTCCCCCCAGAGTGTGTAGAGAGTCTGAACGCCATTCAGGGCAAGACTAAAGCGATTGACTTGAGTTGGCGAGAGGTTGCGGACTGCTGCAAGAACTATCCCAGTGAACCTTACTGGACGTGGTTTGAATGCATCCTTAACATAGGGGGTCTTTGCACGGAGGCTGATTACAGAAGTGGTGCAGGGGTCTGCAATAACAAAACGTGTACCGCTGTCGGAAAGGTGGGTACATTTTTTTTTTAAAAACACTTACCTTGATTATAAGAACGTTGAAAACAACCAGTATTTTTTTCTTGTAATATGCTTCTTACTATACCACAGTGTTGAAGGAACGCGAACTTATCAATTAAAAAATATATGGAATTCAATAAATAATTTTTTTTTAATGTCGAAATTTGAAATATATATAAAAATCAAGGTATGTATTTTGATTAATTCTAATTTTCAAATAGAATCCCATATACTTCCCTTAGAATTTAGTTTTTTTTAATGTCCTTGAAATCAGTTTTATTCTGGACGCGAAACAAATGTGACATTTTTAATAATTTTTTTTATTTACATAGGTTTTTTCCCCATTAATTTTCAGGTGACAGGAAACGGAATAATCCCAAAGGGAAGTGAAAATCTCATGGCTGAGATAATTCATCAAACGACGATAGTCGCATACATCGATGTCACGCCGGAGTCTTTCCAGGTAATCCTCGGAGTGTTCATTAAAAATCATCGGATAAAGTTGGGTAATTGGAATCAGTCGATACAGGATTGGCCAAAGTTGGGTAATTGGAATCAGTCGATACAGGATTGGCCAAAGTTGGGTGATTGGAGTCAGTCAAGATATGATTGGCCAAAGTTGGAATCGACACAAATCATGATCCAAATGAGTTTGATCGTTTGAACGGTGCAACAATTTATTTCATAGATTTTCATGACGTTTCTTTGATTGCTTTCGTTTTTTTAAAATGTTTTTCCGCTTTTAATAAATATTACTTGTATCAATAAAAATAATATCGAAGTCGAAGATTTTAGCTAATTTTGTATTTGGGCATATATTTTTTAATTAGTTTTTTTTCCCCTACTACTACTCTTTTAAATCCAGTGCAAATAAAAAATGGTTAGTACATAAACAATGCATTTTCAAATTAAGCATACAATTTCATGCATTGTGTGTTAGTCAATTGACTTGACGAGGACATGTCAAGGACATCCAAGTCTAAGGCTCTTTCTGTCCGTGGATGCCCGAGAGCAGATGATTCGAACTCTGGCCCAGACATGTCTTTAGCGGTCCTAGTGTGAGACATGTCATCACGCGGCGTAAACCAGAGCCGTCGCATGACTCTTGCAGGACACCTGACACTTTTTGGTGGGCCCCTGCCAGCTTTGATGGGCCCCTGAAATTTTTGGTGGGCCCCTGCCAGCTTTGATGGGCCCCTGAAATTTTTGGTGTGCCCTTGACACTTTTCGTGTTTTTTCTCCCTGATTTTTTTTAATTTACTTTTTTTGTTGACCCCTGTATACACATTTTGATTATTTTTTTCCTGCATGAAAACTGTTGCCCCTTTAAATGTGTTAGGCCTCCTGCTGGTGCAGGAATTTCATGGCCTGCTCGATGGCCCTGTTGCAGAGGATAGACGGAAATTAATTATTCCGACATCAAAAAATGGCCGATGATACTATACTTAGACAAATGGACACCAACGAATGAATTTTTGTGATGGACGGGTGTTGGGCACAATCAATCTTGCAAACATTAAAGACATGTGCAAGTATACTTTTTTTTTTGCCTGATATTCTTCTCGTCTCAAAGTGGCGAAATGCATGAACCTTTGGCCTATATAATATTATTTGTTCTTGCACACAATTGCAATTTTTTAATTGTTTTTATTTTAAAGAGTTATACCGGAGGTATCTATTCTGACCGGAACTGCACACCTGGTGGGATCTATGATCACGTGGTACAGATTGTTGGTTATGGCACGGAGGCAGGAGTGGATTACTGGATCCTGAAAAATTCTTGGGGTAAATTGTGTCTTATTTACTCCACCAAAAATTACTGTTTATTGAATGTTCTCAATTAAAAGTTTATTTTAGATCCATTATTAGCAGTTATTTGTATATATATTGTTGGTCCGTCGAGGATCGACGAGGACCATCGAGTCGTCTGGTGACTGATGACTTGCGCGGGTGACTTTGTTTTAAAGTGAAGAAGAGTTGCGCTGCGTCTACCTCACTCTCTCGTCCGAGCCCACCATATCCAGTGTCAAGGCTCTACGTCAAGACGACCAGGGATGGGTTCGGTTGCAGGAATTGTCATTGTTTGCGCCTTACGGGACTCCATCTCAGGGTTTGAATTCAGAGTATATATATATATATATATATTTATTTATTACCTGCAATACCATTCTGGTGCCACCCTTTAAATTTGATTCGAATCTTGGCACTGAGCTGAGTTTTATTTCATTTTTTTCCTCCACAGGTATCTCGTGGGGAGAACAGGGCTACATGAGGCTACTGCGAGGCAAAAACATATGTGGCATATCAGCAATGAATATATATCCCAAATAAACCAAAAATTTACTTCAAAGTATCTGGTTTTATAATATTAGAAGTTTGAAGAATGTATTTTGTATGCATACGTTCAAATGCTTTACTTACTTTCCACTCCGTGTGTTGAACAATTTTTTAAATAAAAATTAGTAATTGTAAAAGTTATAAAAATAAATGCAGATTAATGTTGTTCTTCTTAGGTAGCCAATTTAAAGATTAATGTGCATAGAAGAGAAAATATAAAATTTCTACTCATTTGTATATGTATTTATATATTCATGATCTACGGTAAAATACTTGGCGGTTTTTAAATTTTCACTGTGCTTGGTGGCTGAGTGATTTAACCTGGGTCTATCAAAACGTATTGACTGGAGCCAAAGACTCGACCAAACTCAAGAAATAAACAAATCCAGCACCCCGAATGGATGGTATTCAATTACCACGACAAGGCCAACTCTGCTATTAAACCCGAGATGTAGTGCCGTAGGCGGTATGACATTGACACAAATCCTCCGATGTGGAACGCATAAAAAAAGCACAGTGAATTCAGCAACACTCTTTTGCTTTAAATAAAACACAGCTCAATACAAGGCATACGACTCACGTCTTGGTCATCTTCACATGCGAAGGACGAACAACAAATACTAACAATGTGCACCCAAGATAAGAGTACAAATATATTTAAATAATGCAATTGTTTTCTATTTATTTCCTAAGACGAAATGTGAACCAGAAGAGGATTTCAACACTCGCTGTTTTTTAACAAATCCAGTTATCCCCACCTTGAAGACGCCTCTGTGGCTTTTCATATAATACATTTACTTGCTAAGCCATTACACAAAGTGTTGTAACTTTTTTTAAAGCCTCATTTTTTATTCGAATACGACACATAAGAATAGATTGTAGTAAAGTTAACTGATAACATAACATGATATAACCAGTGAATGGCCAAAATGGTACACGCTAAGGCAACTTTGAAATTCCAAACACTTTCATTTGGCATGCGCACATTGCTCCTTCTCTTTTCGTTGTTTTCGTGCAAGCAGCGTCATGAAAGTCTTTGTAGATTTGAAGACGGCCATCGTGGGAACGAGGCTAGTGTTCCTGGCCTGGCGGACTTGTGCTTTCATCTTGGATGCCAGCTTCATCGTCTTCAACAGGTCCTCAAACGATTGGCTCTCGCAAAACCTGTCAAACGATCTCTCGAGAAGCTTCGTCTCGACGGTCAGTCTGGTGTATTTATTGGCCACCAGCGGTCTGCTGGTTGGGTTCGGGGTCCGGAAGTTAAATGTAAGTTGCTCGTTTCTATAACTGCCGTTTGGCCCGGATGTTGCAGGTCTTCGATTAAACGCTTCCTGTTCTTTAAGAAATGTTCTGACCTTGTCTTCCACGGAGGTCTTGTGAATTTCAACTGATACAACTCCAGTCCCATGTTTTGTTTCGTCTCTTTGGGAAACATGACTTTTAAATGTGACTGTAGCATTGCGACGTTGTAAAGGTATGGGCGGCATTGATGTGTTGTCCATCACTTGATGTGAAACAGTTTGTTTCATGGAAGACATATTTCCGGTTGTCTGCGACGCCGACACGGGTGATTTTCTTGTCTCTGTGATGAACACGCCATGATTCAACTCATCATCATCGAATCCAGGCCTGGGCTGTTTGTGGGCCGTGGTGACGGGTTCAGGCATTGCAGAAGAACCTGCTTCCGTTTGGGTCACGTCACTTATGACGCGTTGTTTAAACACCGTCGCACCAAAAAGTGACCCAGTTTTCAATGGGGGTTTAGTAAATTGAGAGCGAAACAAATCTGACCCTGAAAATGAGGACGAGTCATTATCATCGGGTCCTGTTCTCGTCTTGCAGTGAGTCGGAGCTGAAAGAGTTCTTCCTGCAGAAGCGTCATCTTCTCCTCCACCAGTTCCCTGCCCGTGATTTTCAGCTGCAGATTTTGATCTCGCCTCTTCCACTTCTTCCTTCCTCATGTGCAGACTCTGCCTCTGGCGTTTAATCAGCCGCTCCTCTAGGGTGTAACGTTTGAGGCAAGATTGTCTCTCCCTCTCGAAAATGGCTCTCTGTCTTTCAGCTTTCGTGTCCAGCGCCTTGTGTTTGTTGAGGAGGAGGGTGTGGCCTTGTGGTGACATCATCACCTCTATGTTTAGCGTGTGGTCCTGCCAGGAGAGGTTCTTGGTTTTCAAAAGCATAAGCGACATTATGACGATATAATCTACAGAAAGCCTCTCAATTTGGGGTGAATGACCTGTTGAAGAGAATTATGAATAATTCCAATGATTATTTCATATATATTTTTTTTCACCGATGCATACAATGACCATGTATTTTCTCATTTCATTTTAGCGATTTAGTTTTATTTGCTATTACTAGAAACATATTCGAAGAGAGTTCTATGTATGAATTACATTTGCCGATATCTATGTATCACTGATATCAATCAAGGCCGGCGCTACTGGGGAGCGGGATATGATATTAAGATATTTAATAATCATACTGGTCCTGACTTGTCATATGTGAGCATGTCATACCGGGATTTGTTCGGCCGCTTTTCTTAATAAGTTTTTATTTATTTGTTTTACTGTAACAGTTGAATAGATCTTAGCCGAATAATTGTCATCGTGGTTTCTTTGTTGCTAATCTCAAAGGTTGTCCCAAACAAGGGTAAAAAAAACAAAAACAAAAATACTACAAAAAGCTGAATGAGCTATCCGCTACCTAATATACTGCATCATGTAAGCAACAAAATTCAGACGATAATCCGACAGTTAATTAAACAGTAAAATAAGACGTTTCGACATCGCACATGGTTGTATAGAGTATCGTTCAATCGACAATGTTAACATTCCATTCAATCGAAAGTGAGACAATGATAATCTATTTTAAATTTTTGAAGAACTTCTTGTTGCACTTGTTATGGTTACCGGCACTGTCAACATTATTTTGTAAGCGATCATTTGCGCATGAGCGAAAATAACGATCAATTATTATGACTACGTTTTACTTCATTCAGAGAATAAATTCCCACTGCAGCTTCCCAGCGTATCTTCCTTTTCACTACTGAGAAGATGTGGGGACTGGAGCCAAGGTGGTTTAAAAAGGGATATCACCGAAGAGTCTGCAGAGGAAGGCTTTTGGCCGATACGTTCTTCTTTTATTTTCCTGTCTATAAATTTTAAGCTTCAACATAACTTGTTCCACTATTTCCTTCACAAGCTTGAACGCAGTCCTTCCTTCATTATCATCGGCTACATCAAGTTGCATAGGCGAGATATAAACGATCTTACTAATGGTATACTAAGCAAACAGAGTGTCTAACCATATGTTTTTGTTCGTCAGTCGGGAGTCGAACATGACCACTTTAACAATCAGAGTTTGTGCTGGTTCTGTCTGTGGGTGCGCAGATGGCTAATGAGGCCGATTCTGGCACGAAATTCTCTTGTGCAGTAGGTGCAGAGGAATGATGGCGCATCTCCGGGAGCAGAGTCAGACCGGGCCTTCCTGGCATGTCACTTGCGCTCTGCAGCCGCTGTTCTGCCAACTTCATGTTGCATGGAGCTCCTGTGCAAAGTGGAACGCCATGAAGTTCGATACTTTGCTTGTTCCTCCCACATGTCTGGGTTTATGTTGAACGCTTTCAGTGAGGCTTTTATGTTGTCTTTAAAGCGTTTTTTCTGTCCGCCAGCAGACAGACCGCTTTCCTTGTTCAAGCTCACCATAGAAAATTCTTTTGGGAAGACGGTCATCTGAAATATGACAAACCATGGCAAGCGAAAATTCAAAAATCTCTCAGCTCGCAGGTCTTGCAGCAGCTTCGCTATTCACTTTAGCGTCGTCACGCGTTTAAACTAGGGGGATAGACTGGTCATTCTAATATCAGGTACCTTCGAACAGTGTGATGGCTGGAAATGTCAATCGATTAGAAGGCATGGGCTGGCTATTTTAATAATATATAATAGTATAAGGGTGACGCTCAGCGCTGTGGTGGATCGCCCCGTTCACCACCCCCCTGACGCCAGCGGCAGTGTCTCCATTTATGGCTAATGATATCAATATTTAGGTGAGTTTTTTTTTTAGTTCCTCTGTGTCTAATGGATGCCCAATAGTTTTGAGTTTGGAGCGTCTTATAAATGACGTCACACTTTTATTTATAAAACAAAAAAGGGATTGGGGGAGGGGGGGGGGGTTGTGATCATGAATCTTTCACGTTGTGCAATGGCACGGGCCATTGATTCCTAGTTTTGATTAAAATTTGTGAAAATTAGGTGGGAAAAATAAAAGGTGGGGAGTGGGTGGGGAGGTAACAAAAGTTGCCAAAATAGCGTGACATATTTTATGACCCCGCTTCATAGCGCTGCAGTTGAGCAGTACGGAGTAGAAAAATTGTAGACTTATTTTACGACTCCCCACCATGTTTCATGACGCATCAGCGCTGTTTAAATGACATGCTGTTTCCCCTAATCCGCAGTCCTAATGAAGTATTAGATGGCAGAATGTCATTGGATCAATAATATTAAATCACAATAATCAAGTTAATTAATTGAACATTCTAGAACCACACCTTGTTTTTTTTTTTCTTCAATAAAGTCGGTAATTGTCAATGATTTGTTTGATTGTTAACGATGTTAAATTGTCCTTCAGCTAATCAGAATAAATCCCTACTTAAAAACCAATAAACGTATCCAACTTTAATAATAATAAATCCATCAAAATAAACATATTATATCGTATATTGAAACAGTTTAAAATAAATGTGTTTAAACACCATTAACTTACGCTTGTTAGGGGAAAATGAAATTTGAAACGGGAAAAATCCTACGATCCAAGATTTAATCATGTGTGCTAACACTGAGTTGATTGCGCTTGTCATCTAGGTTGTGTTGTCATTTAAATTTACCAACATCGTCCAGCAACTATTGCTTAGGGGGGAAACACACACACATACACACACACAAAGAGGTACGTAATGAGAATAGAGGTTCTAAAATAAAAAAAAATGGACTTTGATTATAAACAAATAAATAAAATGTAAAATATGTTTGCTTTTTTCTCCTTTTTAAATTTCAATGTTTGATTTCAGTCGGGGTTCATAGCTCATCGCATGCAGCATGTTTAACGCATGTTTAATGGGTGCTGGGTGGCCGAGCGGTCTAAACGGTCTCAAACCAAACAGCTGGTGGTCTGGAGTTCAATCCCCACCAAAAGCAAATCATCCCAAGCACCCCGGGTAGATGGGACTCGCTAGCCTTGGCAACCCATCCAAGAGAAGGCAAACTCTGAATTTAAACCAGGAGCCAGAATGATCAACAAATTGATCGTGGGCACCTCAAATATAAGAAGAAGAGAAGAAGACGCCCATGTTAAATAAAACATAACAACGAACAGCGAATTAACATATATAAATTGACTCTTTTTAAGAAGCATGTTGTTGTTTTTTTAGCCATGTGTTTTCAACTTCCAATAATGACAAGCGCAATCAACTCAGTGTTAGCACACATGATTAAATCTTGGATCGTAGGATTTTTCCCGTTTCAAATTTCATTTTCCCCTAACAAGCGTAAGTTAATGGTGTTTAATATAAATTGGTTTAGACTATCAATTCATAAAAATCGTATTAATCTGTTCAACTGATAATTGATCAACACAATCGGTCTAATTTTTTCCCCATCATCTGTTTCTAAATGCGCTGTTGTTATGTTGTTTTCTTGTCACATAATTATGGCATGAGGTGAAATAACGATGGTTTTATGTCACTGTTTGAGAACCTCTGCCCTGCTACTTGGGGGTGACAGCAGCACAATCAGCTGTGAATAAGACTTAGTTCCGAAACCCTCAATACATTTCAATACTCCACGCCATTCTTTTGAAAGGAAATTATATCAATAGACTGACTCTTATTTCAAATCAATTATCTGACACGTATTGTTTTCGGACTGACTTGGAACACAGGACTCCGTTGTTGCACTTGTAGCAACCATTGTCTCGTAGGACCGGGTAGGTTAATTGCCGTGGCTTTGAATCTTGGCAATGGCGTTCAAGTTTGTATAAATAAAGTAAGACAAAATCACGGAACAGACGTTGGGGGACATTATTTTAAGACCTGAAAGTATGAATTAAAGACTACTTCCAAAATATGAACTTTTCCCAATTTAAGATGAATCAAAATATGCCCATATCTATTTGTTTACATATTCGTATAGTTAGGACACTGCGTCGACACCTAACATAGACTTAAGTTAACGCTTGTACTTCGCAATGAAGAGAACGAGCCATCATGGCTGCCATGTCTTTGAGGTCTAAAATGACCCCTTTAAAACACGTCTTTGTGGTCGTGATGTCTAAATGACGCCTTTAAAACACGTCTTTGTGGTCGTGAGGTCTAAATGACCCTTTTAAAACACGTCTTTGTGGTCGTGAGGTCAAAATGACCCTTTTAAAACACGACTTTGTGGTCGTGAGGTCTAAATGGTCTTTGAAAACGTCTATGTGTTCGTAGTGTCTAAATGGCCTTTGAAAAAATGTCTTTGTGGTCGTAAGGTCTAAATGGCCTTTGAAAACATGTCTTAATCATATACTTACAGTTTATTTCCGATCGATTCTGGGGTCGATTAAGGTAGACGGTAGGCCTACATTTTAAATCAATAACGGTATGTGATCAGCGGGGCAAAATCTTAATCAACGTGATAAGAAGTGTATTGATTTATGTCGTCAGAATAGTTTAGGGAAAAAATGTGAAATAAGATGCAACAGCAGTGGTGTAGCCGGAGCTGACTGACGCAAAGATGGCTGGAGCTGACTGACGCAAAGATGGCTGGAGCTGACTGACGCAAAGATGGCTGGAGCTGACTGACGCAAAGATGGCTGGAGCTGACTGACGCAAAGATGGCTGGAGCTGACTGACGCAAAGATGGCTGCGCGATCACACTGTAAAAAGAAAAAAAAATGAAGTAGGGCTACCTGGTAATATCTCGCTACAGCACAGGAAGACATTGAGGAGGGGGCATGCACTTTTTTTTGGTGGCAGAAATTAGGGTTATTTGAATTATGAAAATTGTGTAATTTTCGTGAATGTGGTGGGCAGTTCAAAGACCACCATTGGCTTCGCAACGTCCCGCCACTCCAATGATTCTCACAATTTGGTATGGAACAACCCCACAATTTCTCCAGAGGAGACTCTCTACACCCTTTATTTTTCCCATCCAATCATCAACTTCTGATATTCTGATATTGGCTTCCATTCATAATTATTTTTTTGTTGTTGTTGCTAGCATGAGTTGTTAGATAAAGCCTATCAAAGTAAAATAGAAGTTTTTAAAAACACGTCTTTAAAAGACTTCTCATACAATCATGAGGCATCCAGTCAATTGAGAGTAAAGTTAGTTGTCACACAGGCCGCTGACTTGAGTTCATATCTTTTTAGCTGTTACATAGTTGTTGCACAGCCTTGTGCTCATATCTTATTATACCATTACATAGCTGTTACACAGGCCGCTGCCTTGAGTTCATATCTCTTTAGCTGTTACATAGTTGTTGCACAGCCTTGTGCTCATATCTTATTATACCATTACATAGCTGTTACACAGGCCGCTGCCTTGAGTTCATATCTTATCAACTATTAAAGAAAACAGCCAACAAAGTGAAATCATTCTCTGTGCACTTTTCATGTCAAAAAGCATTTAAAACAATTATCACCAAGCTTTTTTTGATGGCTTCTTTAAAAAAAAATGTATTTCTCTTGCTTATTTCAAAGATTGCACATTATTGTAAGACTGTGCAAACAAATATGATTGTAAGACTATACAACAAACATGATTGTAAGTCTATACAACAAACATGACTGTAAGACTATACAACAAACATGATTGTTAGACTATATAACAAACAGGTCCACAATGAGAATTTTCATTATCAACATTTGATTTCCAATGAATGATAAGAGGAAAGGGGCATGATGTAACAAGAGGGAAAACTCCCCACTCAAACATCCCTCTTGCCTATCAATACCAGATAATAAAATTACCATTGATTAAATCAACTATAGAAAATATCATATTTTATTTTTGGGTTAATACTGATAAAATCAATACTCAATTTTTTTAAAATTATCGGATGAAAATTGGTCAAATCTGGGGTAATCAATTTTATTAAATATTTCCTCTATTCTTGTGCAAGTTTTATTTTTATTTTTTTTTTCTTCATTTTATACAAACTGTGTGAACAAAATGATATATAAATTACAGCTACTGGTAACACAAAATATTTCATCATAAATTAAAACAGATGGTCTGTACAAATTGTGTAATATAAGAAATTGATAAGAACTGAACATTTTTAAACAAGAACACAACAGTGACAAATACAATCAAATGAACTTCACAGTGTATGCACAAGGGACGTTTAAAAAATATATTTTGTTCTTGAAACATGTTTATTTTGATTTATCCTTGACTCATAGGTAGCATGTCCCATGGCTCTACTGTGTGATGAACCATTCATGTATGAACTAAAAGTCATACTTCTTTTGATGATGATGTTGCCTATGAGTAAAAGGCTGTGTTGAATGTCTTTATGGGCTTATCAGCTGCCACTGCTTTGTGGTTGAATGGACACTGAGTTGAAATACAAAGGAAAAGAATAGCAATTCATTTCAACATTTTATGGAACAAATTAAAAATCAAATCAAATAACGATGATAATTTATTTGTAAAAATAACACATGTTTCTTGATAGTTTAAACACAAGCAAATATTTCTTAATTATGTCAAGTATTTGATGTGTGATGAAGGCTGTGGTCATAAAATCTAACTTATAGACATGGTAGATAGAAGATGTGTATTTTAAAAAAAATATTTTTTTTTTCAAAATGACTAAATTCCTAAGTATAGAATCCTTGAGCAATTGCCAAATCCAAATTTAGAATAGAACTAAGTAGATTATCAAAAATTGCTGTTTGTCTTCTTCTTCTCTTAAAATTAAGTTATGATCTTGTGCAACTAAACTACTACTCAAGCTTAAAATTTTTTTTTTTAAATCCTTAGATCTAAAATTCTTACATGTCTGCATGCATTCCCACAGCAAGATCCTCTCTTTAAATGCTGCAGCCTGGTTATGACAGTGTAGCCAGTGCTTGGGTCTTTATAGGTGTCAAGTCTTTTCTACTTGAAAGAAAGAGTTGAAAAATAAATTCTGAGTTTTGTACACATAGCATGGTTTGATTACCCATAACGAGAACCATGCTTTTATCAAAAGGTTAAGAGAAGAGAAGAGAGTGAAAGATGGTAAGTGATCAAACATTTAATTCATCAGCAAAGAGCTGAGTGTCTATAAATAGGCTTTATAAAACAAGCTGAATATATCATACAAAAGTTTCTGACAAAAGACAAACAAATGGAAAGAGCATCGAAATGATGTCATTTTTACAAAAACAGTGAAAATATAGAATGTAATTTACAACACTGAAAAGAGTATTGTGTATTATTATAAAAGATACCCACAGAGAAATTTTACTTAGATGTATAGTGTGCAAGGCCAAAGAGAATGAATGAAATTAATTTCATTTTGTAAGTTAACTATAGATATACAATATTTATATCCATTAATAGAGCTGATGTGTATTTTTCCAGGACAGTGTTGATAAGCCATTAATACGATGTACATATGTTATCAGAAAGGACAATTTTTACAACTAAATAATAAATAAAATGGAAAATCATGAAATATTTTTGTAACAATTCATATTTGAATTTACCAAGTTAAGCTAAACAATTGAAAACAAAAAATAATTCTTAGCTAGATGATTGTTTTAATTTACCTGTAATGCATCTACATGTTTTTTATGAATTAGTTTTTCTGTTTCATTTAGTTTCTTTTCATTCACATTCTCTAGAAATGAGAACAGCTGGGAGTCTGAAACATTCACT